TACTGAATAGCCCATGGACTGCGAAAAGAACAAAGAGGTCTTGGAGAAGGTGCAGCCAGAGAGCTTTTAGAGGCAAAAATAGCAAAGCTTCATCTTACATGCTCTGCACATATTGCTAGAAGAGGCTATTCCTTGGAGAGGAACATCATACTTGGAAAGGTAGAGTGTTGTAAAAAGAAGATCCCCAACCAAATGGATTGACACAATGAAGGCAGCAATGGTCTCGAGTGTGTCATAGGTTGTGAAATGGGCTTGAGTATATCAGAGATGAAGATGGCACAGGGTAAGTCAAAGTTCCTAGGGGCACTGTGAGTGGTAACCAACTTGATGGAACTTAACAACATCTTTCTTTTTTTCTCTTTCACCTTGTTCCTTTTTTCCACACAAAGAAAGAGAGAACTCTTACTCTGAACTTTATTATACTTACTCTCATTTAAATGAGTGCAGTTATTTGACTAGTCTTTCAGATTTGCATCTAAGAATTTCGTGTAATGTACCATCAGTGATGTAATTCTCACTTGAGAGTTGCCTGTCACATGTGTCACCTCTGTACAGCTGTAAAGGAGATTTACAGTGAGGGACCCTGAGGCATTTCTGTTGGTTAGTTATAAGAACACATACAAAGCATTTTCAAAAGACTATCAGAAATGCATCAATGATAAGGCCAACTAGGTGTAATTCAGGCATATCCCTAAAAGTATAACATTGCTTCTCCTTTTCTCTGGGGGAAGTATCTTGAAAAACAAGGTCAATTTATAAGCGTTACTAAGACTAATTGAAGACCCTCAGCAAGATGAATTGACACAGTGACTGTAGCAGTGAACTTGAATGTTTCAGTGATGGGAAGGACAATACAGGACTGGGTAAGGTTCAAATCCCTTATTCACAGGGTCACTATGAACAGTAATTAACTCAGTGACACCTAACAATAACACAAACAACAATTGAGGATCAATGCTGAGTAACCTTGGCATGTCCTTACATCTCTCTACCCCTCAGGTTGCTGTCAGTGTGAAGGGAGAGCAGAGCAGCAGTGTTTTAGGAGAACACTGAGGGCTACGTGAGCGAAATCTGTAAAAATGGCGTTGTGTTGGTGATCTATAACCTTCTCCCCTTTGGCCTTTTACCCATTGTGACACCAGCCATCCCTCCCAGGACACACTCCACTTCTCTGCTGGGTTCATTAACTCATTGCATTCATCAAACAGAATGCATGGACCGTATGACAATTTGGGGATGTGTTAGAGAAGTAACACGTTACAATCCAGTTTCAAGAAAAGACTCAGGGTATAGTTTTTTGACTAGGACAGCCCTTTTTCAGCCATGCCCACAGGCAGGTCTCTCTCTGGCCCTTGGCACCTTGGGCCAGCCTTTTTGTTGCCCTGTTCAAGCAGTTGTTTTAGCCCTGTGCAGAGACGCCTCACCCTACCAGCAGGAATAGCATACATCTAGGCACTCAGCTTTTTTGTTCCCTGGACCACAAAGCCTAGCTGCTTGGCGGCCTTCTGCTTCTGCTCCCTCTGCTGTTAATTGTGTTGGCACTGCTGCTTCTCACTGTTTCCCATGTTACATCATCTCTGAGATTACATTAGGAGGTTCCTAATGTGGAGACTCCAAGTCTACTGGACCCATTCAGCTCTAGTCACTTGTTGGTATTAGACAGGGCTCCCTCTGCTTTGGAATTAGCAGGATGGCAAAACTGACCGATTGGCTCATTAATATTCCATCCGAGGAACAGCAGTTGTGGTAGAAATAAAGGCTGTTGAAAGAAATGTTGGATCAAAAAAATCCATTAAAATCAATCAAATTCAGACACTTCCTATACAATATGTGGCCTTTGGAGAAGTAAATTAACCACTAAGTACTTCAGTTTCCTTATTTATAAATAGGAAGAGTGATCTTTCATAGATAAATTATTAATGCCAAATAAATGACAATATGTGGACATGTTCTTTTATTTAAACCAATGTATCTAGTTTGAAATTGTGTCAAGATAAAAAAGTGAACCAATTAACAATAGAAACAGCATTCGTAGTTTGCAGATTAGATAAACTGACTGATTGGTTTAGACAAAAAGGGACTATGTAGGAAATAATTATCCCAAACAATTCAATAAAGAGGGTAATAACTTAAGTCGATTTGGGATCTAAGTGGCCAAGCGGGTAAGGAGCTGCCTTGCCAACCTAAAAGCAGGTAGTTTGAATCCACCAGGTGCTTTGCAAATAAAGATACATAATCTCCTGTGCCGTTTACAGCCTCTGAAAACTCACTGGCAGGTCAGCTATGAGTTCTGACTTGACAACACATAACAAGAGAGAAAGCAGAAGGGTCCCATCAACTTGCTGCTAAATCAAGATGCCATTCTGCTTCAGGGTCAACTTCCAGAGAAGGGGGCCTGAGTGACCGAGCCTGCATTGAGTGTTTATGTCTTCAGCTGTGTCTCACCAACAACCACATCTCAGAGAAAAGGTCTATTTCCTCTTTCAGAGCAGGATCAGGATGCAGCTTCACAAATAAGAGGCAATGTGTGCTTGGCAGGCATGAACATCAAGCACGTTCCTCAAGCACTGTGCACGCAGAAGCAATCTTCTGGTCGCTCATAATAATTTTATGACAGATGCAGAAGAGAGTACTTTTAAGAACAGATAATGGCTAATATAATTGCATATTGAAGAAGAAAAAGAGTGGTTTGGAAAATATCTGTGCTTGCCCATTATTAAACTTTAACATTAGAAAGCGTTTACGTAATTACCTCTCAGCCCATCCAGGAACCTTGATATCACAATACATGCTCACCAAAAAGTCTGAATCTGCCTGCCTGTTCCTTGGAAGAAAGATGGTCCATCTCCTCCCCATAAAGATGGACAGAAACTCAAATAGAGGGTCATTGTGAATTGTTAGCTACTTAATGACAGTGGGCTAGGAGGGTTGTTGCGGTTGGTCCACAGCCCATCAGTGATAGCATGGTAAGTAAATGATAATGTATTCACAAAATGTATTTTGTAACACAAGAGAATAATGGGGACAACTTCAACTGCACAAAATACTGGATGAATCTCACAATTAACATTAAGCTAAAGAAGACAGACCAGACCATATGGTCCCCTTTTGAAGTACAAAAGCAGGCAGAACTAATCTAAGCTGGTAGGAGTTGGAGCTCTAACCTTGGAAAGGTGAGACTTGTGACTCAGAGAGGAGATTATGGGGACTGGCCATGCCTGTTTTAATTTTTTTGTACACGGGTGTTGGTTGCATGAGTGAAACTTCATGGAACTGTACATTTACAATACAAGCTTTTCAATGTGTATATTGTTGATTGGAGCTGTTGAGTCAATTCCAAATCGTCGTGACCTCAGAGAACCACAGAATTCCCCCTCACAGAGTTTCTAGGTACACTCAGCTTGCCTGGCCATTTTTAGTGGTTAGGCACCTAACCATTTCACCACCAGGGCTGCTTCTACTATGTGTCTTAGTTATCCAGGGCTGATATAAGAGAAATACCACAAACAGAAATTGATTCTCCCACAGATTAGGGTCTTCAAACTTCAGTTGAAAGTCTGAATACTAGGTGTCCCATAGAAGGCCTTCTTTCCCTTTGTTAGATCCAGGACAGGGGCCTCATTTTATCTCTTAAAAGATGCAAAGTAATGCAAACCACCCTCCCAGCAGAACTCCTCTTAGCACAGATCAGAGCTTACATCCAAGTAAGCATGTTGCATCTCATTCTAATCACCTTTCAAGTGATTGGTTAATTAGAGCACATTGTAGAGGATGATTACATCACTGTATAATTGCCAGATTACATTATTGCAAAACTACTGGACCACTGTGAAGCATGGCACAAAGTTAACAAATATTTTTAGAGGGATGCAATTAAATGTGTTGTAGTATTATAGTTTATTTTAGTGTTAGGAAACTTAACTTTTACATACATTTATATTCCCATGTAAATACTATATGCTAAGTAGTGAAAGAGATATCAGACTGTGCTAATGTATGTGTTATTGAGACAGAATCAGTTCATACCTGACCCTCCAGCAGGTTTGCAGAAGCAATAATTGACACAGAAGAGGATACCCGTCTTTTTCCCATGGAGCAGCTAGTAGATTTGAACCATGTAACTTTGTGTTTGGAGTGCATTTCTTTACCCACCTGAGCTCCCTACCATGTAAAATTCCTTCTCCTTAAGTGTGTGCTTAGCTTTTGACAACTCCTATAAATAGGTAAAAATTTTCCACGACTTCAGTTGATTGTGTTAAAATTTTTTATGATTCTTTTAAAATAAGCCCGAGGATATATTTGACTCAGAGATTCCTAACAATGGTCATTTTGGTGAGTTACTTTTCTATATCTATCTGGTTTTAAAATTGTTATATGAAAAATTACAGAGAGTCTGGTATTTTTACTTCCTTGGCTTGCTGTTTTGTAGGCTGATTTTTTTTAAACCTTGTGCACAAAATCCCACAAAGCAAAGACCTATACCAAAAACTTAAAGAACAGGAAGCAGAAAGTGGAGTTGTAGTTTTTGAGTTTGTAGTTTGTAGGTTTTTTTTAGTTTTAGTTTTAAATTGGATTCCAGTGGCCCAGTGGGTAAGGATTTGGCACTGCCAACTCAAAGACAGAAAGCTCTAATTCACCAGATGCTCTGCAGGAGAAAGACTGGCATGATTTACAGCCTCTGAAAACTGTCTGGAGGGTCAAATATGCGTGGATTCCCACCTAAGGGCAACAACATAGGAATGTTGGTCTCTTGTTGTGTGTTCTTTCCTTTGTTTAAATACATACAATGTATGTGGTGAGGATGCATCACCCCCAAAATCATCTTCCTGGAAGGTAAGCTTGTCTCTGGGAAGTGCAGGTTGCAAGAGGACCTTTAATTTGGTTCTGGGGCTCAGTGTACAGGATGTCGTGAAAATAATCTTTATTAAAACAAACATATAGTCAATGGCTGTTTTGCAGCCCTTTCAGAAAGTGATGTCTTCTCTGTTCATTCTGGTTAGGTTCTGCCGCTCCTGTATCACTACCAGCCTAAAGAACAATAAGTGGACGTGTCCTTATTGCCGGACTTACCTCCCTTCCCAAGGAGTGCCAGCCACAGATGTAGCCAAAAGAATGAAGTCAGAGTACCGGAATTGTACCGAGTGTGACACCCGGGTATGTGACCCTGAATATGTTTGTGGCTACCAGCTTAGACCCCTGAAAAACTGTTGATGCAGCTAATTGTTTAATCTGTGCCTTTGACCCATCCTGTCCTGCCTGTATCACTTGACTCTTAGCATCCACTTAATTTTTCAGATTCTTTCATTGGCGTTCTCCATTTCTTCTCTTCCCATTAGCTCTGTAACCTCATTTGTGACCTTTAGTCCCACTTCTCTGTTGTAGCTAGCTTTAAAAAAAAGGCTATTACACTGGCATCGTGTGAAGAATGGCTTGGAGTTAAGAGTGGAATTGGTGAAATCAGTTAGTGACTGTTGTGCTAGGTCAGACAAGAAGTCTAGATTAGTGAGGGTAAAAGCTTTAGTTAGGAAGCAGGAGACTGTTTCAAGGTCTAATTAGGAGGTAGAATTTGGTAATTAGGAGGTGGCATTTGGTAATTGACTCAGTGTGGAAGTGAGGGGTGGTCAGCCGTAGAAAACTGTGCTACTAATAACTCAAAGACACCTGCTTTTTAATGATTCAGCCCACCAGCTGTTCTGCTGGAAAAAGAGAACAATCTTCTCCCGAGCGATTTACATCCCCTGAAAGTCCACTGGAGGGTCAGCTATGAGTGAATGTCAACCCCATGGCAATGACAATGAGTTTCTGACATGGGTTGGTGAGAATGCTAATTTGGGAGTGGATTTGGAGAAGAATCCCAAAATTTCAGTTTCAGAGGTGCTAAATTTACACTACCAAGGGGAGCTACTGAGAGAATCTTAATACCAATCTGATGTCCAGAGGAATACTGAAGAGACTGGTGCTGGGAATCTGCAGTCTTTAGAGAAACTTACCTTGATCATTAATCCAAATTTTAGCCTTTTTTGTACTTTATTTCTGCCCCCTGTGCATTTATAATTATGTTTTGTAGTTTAATTTCAGTTAGCCTCATAGATCTAAGTTCTATGAGGGTAAGGACTTTATTTGGTCTGGATTTTGCTTTGGTTTTTTGTGGATTTTTTAAATATAATTACCTTTCAGCACTTTAAAAAAAGTGCCTGGTGCATTTTAGTGTTCAATACATTTTAAATTTTTAATTTTTCACTTTAACAGATTTTTAATTGTCATTTGCTTGAAGATTTACAAAGCAAATTAATTTTTTTGCTCATTCATACATATTTTGTCTATACCATTAATTTCAGTAATAAATAAAAGCAATCAGTTCTAACTAAAAATAAAAAAGCTACTGATTTTGACCTTTTACAGCTTTACAAACACTATGATAAAGCCCTAAACACAAACAGAATTTTTTTAAAAAAGCAAATACAAAAAGGAAAAAAAACCAAAATAAAAAAGAAACAAAACAAATCCTAAACATATTTTATTGTTTACCTTCACAACTACCTTAATGCTACCTTTAGCCTCACTTTACAAAGAAGTAAACATAACATTCTCTAATTTGCCCAGAACAAAGAGGAAGAGAGATTTGTTTTGATCTTAGAACATCTGATTCCAAAGACCATGAATAATGCCTGCATCCAGGTAACCATGAATAATAGACTATTCTGTCTTATATCAATACACTTACCTAACTCCTTACTTATCAACATATGAAAACTGGGGTTAAGCAAATGGAGGGTGACCACGTCAGATTGTAAAGGGAGGATGAATTCATCATGAGATAGATGCGTTATGCCAACCACTGAGAATCAAGATCTAGCTAAGTTAATCAGAGCAGCCTGTATTACTCGTGCTCCTGCCTTGGCATTCATTATGGTCAGACATACATTGTTAATGCACAAAATAGTCAGACATTAGGGGCTTTTTTTAACATCCTTTTTTAGACATTAGTTTTTTCAATTATTGTCATAACTGAAATGTTCAATAACAAGATAGGTAATGGATGAGTAGTAGGTGCATTTAAAAATACATTAAGTTCAATGCCGCGTTTGATCTCTTTGTCAGAAACAAGAACGTTTCTTTTTTTTTTAAAGTAAACATTTATAAATTTTATTCAGCTCTTCATGCAACACTGTATGCTAATTCTTAATATAGATTATTTTATGGGCAAAGTTCAGAGCTCTTGTTCAAAGAGCATCTCTTAATTATCCTGGATGTACATTCCTAGAAGCACTTGGAGTTTTCTCCTTTAAGATGTTTCCTGAAAAACAAACAAACAAACAAAAACTTTGCCGGTTTTGGTTTTTTTTTTTTTCTTTCATTCCACATTACTCTTCTTGTTGGGAATGTTGCCAATACCTTCCCTAACCATTTTAAATGCTCCCTGTTACTTTTCCGATTTCTAACAAGATCTCTCTTCCACGAGACTAACCTGTGCATTCTAGCGCCATCGTGTCATTTCCTGTCTGCTTGTCTATATATCTTTTTATTCTCCTTATCTTGTAAGCATGTTTAGAGCGAGAAACAATGTCGTACTTTGCTTCTGCTACCTTTTAACACTTGTTTGCATAATTGTGTAGAGGTTAGACACTTAAAGACTTTCTCATTTCATTTGTCAGTAGTATATAATCCCAAAATCTCTAATTTATGTGACGGATGCTTCTCTTTATTGACTAAAGACTACAAAAAGAGAGAGAAAGAAACGAAAAACTCTTACTAGGAGTAATAAAGAGACAAGAAATCACCAAAGTGCAAAGCTGGATTTTAAAGGGCTTAAAACACTTTTGTTTTAAGACAGCTGCCTAAAATGATACTCGTTGTTAGGTCTTTTAGATGGGTGTTTGTAAAGGCAGGGTTTGTTTTTCGTTTTTGGCCTGTTTTCCTTTTTTGTCTTTTGTTAAGCTATTATAACTGTTTCTTTCATATGGTAGATTTCATGTTTGAGGCTTAACTTCCGTGCTGTGTACAAAATGAAGCTGAGTGGGTTGGCCACCACACCACGACCGTACAAAAGCTTCCTTTAGCACCAGATCTTATCAGAGTTTCTGTGACACATTTAGTAGAATATATGTTATGTTTTAACAGATCCGTCATGGTTAGGAGCTCTGAATGTATATCTGAAGGAACAAGGACTCTTTATTCTTTGCTGATAAAAATGGACTGCAAAAACTGTCTTTTATATTTGCTCTTAATGGGGTTGTTAAGTATCCTCTGTATTAGGAATTCATGAAATACTGCTCATCCTGTTATAAAGCCATGATATTTTTATCTTTCCCTAAGGCATAGAGTTTCTTTTTACTTCCTATATGGACATCTCTAAAACTTGTCAGTTTATTCTTTTTTATCTTTGTTTCCATGTCTTCTTTCTTGCTCCCGGTTTTCTCTTCCCTTTTCCTTATTTCTATCACCTATTTAGATAATATTTTATTAAAAATGTACATTTGTATTATATTTTCCACTTTAAAAATATATAGAATTTTTAGAAGAATGAAGTTCAAGAAACTCAACATTTGAGTCTTCAAGGTATTGGATAAAATATCAGGTGGTATTATTCTTGAGAATGTCTTAACTTTACGGTACCATTGTCATGAATACGTCTTTTTAATCAACTGTCCCCTCAGATTGACGTTACCTGAAATAGCGACAGTAGTAAAGCTTCATCATGAGAGCTCATTGACCTTCTTTTCAATTGTGAATTTCTTTTTAATTTGCTTTTATATAGGTTTGCCTCAGTGAAATGAGGGCACACATAAGGACTTGTCAAAAATACATAGATAAATATGGACCACTACAAGAACTCGGAGAGACAAGGTTTGTTTCAGCAAAACACAGTTTCATGCTAACTTTGATCACTGTAAAAAAATTTAATGAGCTATTAAAACTGGATGTTTTTAATATGAAAATATTTATAGCTTTGTTTAGGCTTTAATCATAATTCTGGTTATGGTTAATGTAGTAATGGCAGTAGTAATGACTGTCAAAGAATTTTGTTTTTTCTCCTCTAAAAGTTTTATGTGGAAGGAACTGACCATATATACTGGAGAGATTAGGGCACTTCCTCAGACAAATTTCTATTAAGGACAATCCAAAAATAAAATGCAGAACTTTTCCATTTCTTCTAGACTCTGTTTTCTCACTTACAGACTTCTGAAGTAGACTATAGTTAAAGAATCATTCGTCTTTACTCTTCCATTTTCACCACTTAGTCTCCTAGCTCCTGTCCTGTTATTTTGCTAGTAGGAAGTTGGCATCTCAATATATATTTGAACCAGGGCATAATAGGTTTTGGGGGCCTGAATTAAATGCTTTTCTGGTGGGAATCTTAGGTTAGGGCTAGGATAAGGAATGAAAGTAATTGGCAGGTGAATGGAGGAAATGGATCATGAACTATTTTTTTTTTCTTTAGAGAAAGAAAAAGAAACAATCTAGGTCATTACTATCCTTATCTGGGATAATTTAGCTATGGCTACAGAGTTTTGATTCTGCCCCTAAGAAAGAAGTCATTTGTGCTCTCCTGTGCATGCTAATAGCTTTGAGATTATGAAATCAGTTTATGAACTCAGCTAGCTACATTATAATACCACCCAGCAGAATTTCTTTCTGATTCCTGAAAAAAAGGTGTTAGCTGTATTTTAAGAAATACACTAGAAATGTAACTTAACATTGGTAACTTAAAGTGGTGAATGAGCAACCCATTCCTTTTATTTAACTGGAAATGTAATATCTGTAGTATTTGGAAAATAACCAAGGGGTTTAGATATATGGAGATTATTTTGAGAATATACCTACTGTTTTTCACAAGGTCAGTTTATACATGATATTATAAAATTTAAAAGTGTTTTAGCTACAAATAGAGTGTGGATTCTGTTAGATTGGCTACAGGAAAAGAGAAAGAAAGATAAAACAAATAGATTGATAAAGGATTACAATTTAGTTTGCCTTTTTTTGGGTGTTGGGAAAATTTAAAAATGCAGAAAAATGAATTTAAATCCCAATTCCTTCTGCTGCTTAAAATATAATAATAATAGTGAAAAAGAACAGAAAGTAGTTTTTGACTACTTGATCTTACAAGACAGATTAACATTTGTTTTTTAAGTCTTCATTTATTGACAATTTTACTCCATGATTCAAATTTTTGAAACTCTTACATGGAGAACTTGTCCAGAGTACAAACCTAGAGGAAGTTTACATCTAAAATAGAATGTGAGCAACATATATCATATTGTCCCCAAGAATTTAAAGCACCATAACTCCTTAAATGTACAATATAGATAATGTACACAATTAAAGTTTGTCTAGTAGCTGCATTGTTGGTGCACTTGTGGCCTAGTGGCAAGAAGCTGCTCTCAATCCTGAAGGTATGCAATTCGAATCCACCAGCTGATCCGCTGGAGAAGGATGGGCAGTTTCCTCCCATGCGATTGACTACCTCTGAAAACCTGCTAGAGGATCAGCTGTGGGTCAGTTACAACAGTACACAAGGGCAACCGTAGCCACATTAAAAAAGTAGAAAGGAACAGATTAAATCAGTCTTATATGTATTTTTGAACCTAATCGATGCAAAATATTATGATATAGCCATATAATAATTACTGAAGATTTTACATTGTTTCTGGAGGTTTTCTTCCTTAAAAATTTGAAACTCAAACCCACTATCATCTGTTTGCTTCTGACTCATTGTTAACCTCTATGGGGTTTTGAAGCTGTAAGTCTTTGAAGGAGGAGACTACCAGGCTTTCTTTTGTGGAACAGCTGATTGATTTATCTGAACTGCTAATCTTGGTCAGCAGTCTGGTGGATTACATACTAGGGCTTTTTTTTTAATGCATCAGGGCTTTTAAAAAAATCCACACTAAGGTTTGAAATTCAGTGTGCATTTTCCCCTCATAGCATATCTCAGTTGAGACTAGCCATCTTTCTAGTGCTCAACATACACATAGGTATGATGACTACTCTTTTAGTACAGATATAAGGAACAAATACTTTGTGCACATGAAGATTTAACCTAGTGTTTGTTGGTTAGATGTGATATTAAAACTAATCACTCTACAAGATCAACATACAAAAATCAGTTGGCTTTCTCTACCGTGACAAAAAGAATACAGAGCCAGAACTAAGAGAAACAATACCTTTCACAATA